GGGTGACACAGATTCCTCTGGTTCTCGTCCCTCTTTCTGCCATGTGATGCTGTATCTCTAGCTTGTGGTCTGGCATTGGTTTTTATGTTTTTGTTTTTTTGTTGTTTGTTTTTGAGACAGTCTCACTCTTGTTGCCCTGGCTAGAGTGCCGTGGCATCAGCCTAGCTCACAGCAACCTCCAACTCCTGGGCTCAAGTGGTCCTCCTCCCTCAGCCTTCCAAGTAGCTGGGACTACAGGCATGTGCCACCATGCCCGGCTAATTTTTTCTATATATTTTTAGTTGGCCAATTAATTTCTTTCTATTTTTAGTAGAGATGAGGTCTTGTTCTTGCTCAGGCTGGTCTCAAATGCCTGAGCTCAAGTAATCCGCCCACCTCAGCCTCCAAGAGTGCTAGGATTACAGGCGTGAGCCACCGCGCCCCACCTGGCATTGGTTTTTTACCAATCAAAAAAATTGGTTACAACTATATGTTTATAATCATTCCATACATACAGTGTTGTGTTCTGCTTTTCTTTTTTTTTTTTTTTTAACTTAGGATGACATAAGCACTTTCTGCCTTCTTAAAGAGTTTGTGAACCTGTTATGGTTGTGGCTGTTAATCCATCAAACAGATGTACATTGGTGTGCTTATACTTGCCCCCTGCATTGGAAATGTAGGGTGTTTCAATTTTTGCTATTACAATTAATGCAATACAGAGCTTTATACATAAAACCTTTTCTTTTCGGAATTATTCCTTAGGATAGATCCCTTGAGCTAACTGAAAAGGCCACACACCAGACAGAAACTGTTCCAAGCTGAAGAATGGGACTCGCCATTGACACTTTCTGAGCAAAAGGAAAGCTTCTTGATGTCAGTGTGGGGATTAATGAAGGATGGAAGGATGATACCGTCCTTGGTGCCGAGGGTCCTACCTAACTCCTGAGGCTTTGAGAAAACCCCTTGAATAAACTGGAGAAGGAGGTGCACACGGTCAGGGCTAGAAGATTTCCTCCCAGTAGCATAGAAGCTACTGGAGACCTGGTAATTCATAGTTGTTTTCACATAGCTATAAAATGTGACACGTATTTGAAGCCAGGGATGACTTTTCTCTTTCAAAACAAAGCTAACAGTAGTTTGCATTTTTCCTAAAATACTCTAGGTAAATGATAGAAGATAAAACCAGATTAGAATTCAGATTCTGGCCTCAGATAACTACATAGATTTCCTAAGGTAGGAAAGGTAGGTTACTACATTAGTAACAAGAAACATTTAAGGGCTGGGCTGGGTGGCTCACACCTACAGTAGTAGCACTCTGGGAGGCCGAGGCAGGAGGATCGCTTGAGCTCAGGAGTTTGAGACCAGACTGAGCAAGAGCGAGACCCTGTCTCAAGTAAAAAAAAATTTAAAAATCTGCAAAGCAACTAAAAATAGAAAAACTTAGCTCGGTGTGGTGGGGCACGCCTGTAGTCCCAGCTATTCAGGAGGCTGAGGCAGAAGGATTGCATGAGCCCAGGAGTTTGAGGTTGCTGTGAGCTAGACTGACGCCATGGCACTCTATCCCGGCCAACAGAGTGAGACTCTATCTCGGAAGAAAAGCTGCTAAAAATAAACTAAAAAAAAAACAAGAAAAAAAAGACAGTGTCTTTACCATGGTCCTTAGGCTGCAACACAAAGCTGCCTTGCTCGCCCGCCCTGGGACTCTGGCAGCTTAGCAGAAGGGCGGATACGAGGGACACGGCCTGGCCCTGTCCAAGCTGTCCTACCAAGGGCAATTCTAAAGATACGTTTATGCCCATGAGACCAGTTAAAAATGCCAGCACTCACAGATCGCTTGTTCTCTCACTTGTGTTCTTTCCTTCTTCTTTTAATTGCTCCCTACAAGAGCACATTCCTCCAACAGATTCTATGACAGGGATGTTCTCTCACTTGCTTGATTTTTGTAGTCTGTTGCCATCAGGCCTGCAGCTAAGGCCTTAACAAATAATTGCGCATCTGGTAACCACTTAGGCTCCCAGCAATGCAAGGCAAGGAGGCCTCTGCAGGGGCTCTCTGGTCAGCTCTCCTGCCACTGATAGGCTTTGCCCAAGTGCTCCTGGACTCACAAGCAGGCTTGTTACATTTCACCTGTCTCCTCAGTACACTCTTATGGCCTGCATGCTTCCTAACCATCTAGCCCCTTGTGAGCTTGGCCAGGCCACAGTTTCCTTCTTCTGCACCACCGTAGGACTAACGGATTTGCCCAGAGTCATGTTGCTAGATGGCAGCAGAGCAGGGCCTGCCTGGAGGCCACCCATGTCAGATGCTCATCCCACTACCTGTCAGCTGTGTGAATACCCCTCCCCACACCACAGTTCCTCACTGTGGTCCGAGGAGGTGCTCGTGCCCTCCTGAAGGGTTTGTTAGGAGGACTAAACAACTTGGTAAGTAAGGTAATTTAGTCCATAAGCACTCAGTAAGTGATAGCTGCTGTTGTTACTCATCCCACTATATCTAATCTCCCTGCGCGTACAGTTTACAACTTTAATCTTTAAAATAGCCTATGGCTTCCATAAATTTCCTTGTTGCTCTGCTGAGCACCATTCCTAGTTCCTGGGAGGTCAGGGCTGTTGGAGGACACCTGATAAACCAGCCCTGTCCCCCACTTCTCCAGGGACTCAGCCTCCTGATTTCAGTCCTTTCTTGCCTAATGGTCTCAGGTCTTTCACTTTCCATTTGCCTCTTAAATTACCAAATCCAGCTTTCACTGTCTTCCCTGGTAAGCTAGTGTCCAGAAATACACTCTGTCACCTTCTGTGTGAGGGGCAGCCTCTCCAGCTCATCTTCCTGCTGCAGATCCCATGGGGCAGGGTTTCCTGGAACTGTGTTTGGAGGACAGAAGGCACAGTCGTGATGGCAGCCATGGCGGGGCAGCAGCTGACATGTACTAGTCACCACTGCGTGCCAGTCTCCTCAGAATGCTCCTATTGTAGACAGTGAAAGTGAAGAGATGAGTCATTTCCCCAAGGTCACCATTCCATAGGTGGCCACAGTGGACTACCCAGACCTGCACAGAGCCAGTCTCCTGACCACCATGTTCTGTGGCAGTGCCCAGTGACATGAATCTCTCTGAATCTCTTTATTTTTCTTCTGTCAAGGGAAGGGGGGTGGAGTGGGGGTAGTGATGTAGTTCTGTCCTTAAAGATTGTTAGTTCCCTTCCTAGGGCCTGCCACAGGCCTTAATGTTCTGCAGATCCTATTTATGAAATGTGGATTAAATATTTACATTGCAGGAGCTCAGACTCCATAAAGCTGCACTGGGTATTCCTGTGCACTTGGATGTTTAAAATAAATTGAAAGCTTTGTGGATGGCAGTAAAATGGGAAGACTTCTCAGGGTGGTTTTGTCTGTCTGGTGAGGAGCTAACAGTGACAGCAGGTAGTCAGCAGAGGGCCCCAGAGCCTCACAAGTAAACCTAGATTTGGGCCGTACCCTGGTGTTTGCAGATTCTTGTAGAGCTGCGCTTTGGCTGTACAGGAGAGCGGCAGGCAAGCCAGAGTGGGAGTGCTCCTCCGCCACCAGAATGAAGATAGGCGTATGGGAGAAGGTAGAACACCAAGAACAGTTGCACAATCTGGTCACCTCATAATGTTCCAGTGAAGGGTATGAGTGTGTGAGGATGGGGATGGGGACTGTGTATGCAAACAGGGAACCAGGAAGAGAGCAAGAAGCTACTTTTTCAGCTCCTTCATGTTCAGTATCCCCCTTCCCCTGGCGTTTACTAGGCCCCTGTTCAGTTACTCTAATGGCCTCTGCACGTACAGCCCTCCCCCTGGGCAGCCTCTGCCTCCTGGGCTTTCCTGGGCAGCACTCCCAGGACTCTCCATAGCTAGTGAGGAATGAGCTCAGGCCATGACTGGAAGAGGACACATCCGACTGGCTCTTGGCCTGGTATGCCTGCAAGTGAATGGCAAGTTCTAGACCTGTGCTTGCTAGATTCTTTCCAGTCTAAGGATCCTAACATACATGTAAAAGGCAGTCAGTCAAATACATATGTGGAAAATGCCTTGAACAGTGCCTTCATAAGTGATTGCTATTTTAAAAATCTACCAAAAGCTAAATTTGTGGCCTTTAAATCATGGCCTGAATCCTATATTTCATTCCTTTTTCTTTTTTTTTTTGTATTTCCTTTTTTTTTTTTTTTTTTCCTTTATAGAGGAAAGCCTGGGAAAATGGCCAGAAAGCCAAAAGAATGTGGTTGTATGATTAGTGATCCTGTCCCACAATGCGTAAGACTTACTTTGTGCCCACCTTTAGTGAACCTAATAACTACATTGCCCAGACCACCCATACAACAGAGTATATGAGGCCTAGAAATAAGACAACCATGAGCAGTGGCTCCTTGGCTGATTTCAGAGAGTCACATGGCAGGCAGTCTCTAAGTCATATATTTGCTCTGAAGTGAACACCTTGACAGTTTAGAAATAATGCCAGTAGCAAATAAAATCGTTTCTGCTTTCCACCCCATATAAGCCATACATCAGAGTGCCCTAAAAATGTTAGTGGAGTGTATGAAGTCTGTAGTGGTATTTTAGTTAGGTTAGGCCAGTAGGTAGCCTTATTAAGAAGGTCATTTCACATGGTTGGTTTGGTTTGGTTTGGTTTTTAAGGAACAATAACCCCTGCCCACGGGAAATAATAGGCCTTTATGAGGTTATATCCGGCATTCATTGGTCCCATTTTGGAGCACTGCAGATGGACTCACACCTGGTCATAGACCCAGGGTCAGCTTTGAAGACTGGTGAGGGACAATAGCTAGAGGGAAAGTACTTGGAACCTGAGGTTCCAATAAAAGCCAGTGGCTTTTCTCTATGTCATGGCTCAGATTGTACTGTGTGTGTGTTTGTGAGTCTTTCTCCCAGTTGTTAGTCCTGAAATGCCATCATTCCATAAGAACAGGGACATAGGTGGGACCAGCTTTTTGAGCCAGCAGCTGCTTTTCCCAATTGTGCACGTATCCCCCCTCCAGTGCCCTTTCCCAGTGTGCAGGTGTCATTTGGGTGCCAGGAGCCCCTGGGAGGCTGTGGGGAAGCAGAAGGCACCAGCTCAGCCGTAGCACTTGCTGCAGGGGCTGCTGGCGGGAAAGCCCAGTGGCTCTTCCAGCAGGTAGGGCTCGTCTGGGTTCCAAGGCGTCATACTTAACTTTTTGCACCTGCTGTCAGCGCTTTTACTGCCAGCTATGTTTTATGTTAAAAGTTTGTGTAAAAATGTAAGGTGTGTAGCTGGGGAGAAAGGAATTTCTTTGGAATGAAAAGAGCTGAATAGAGGTGGCACTATGAGCTTCATGATCTCGCTCCTCCAGATCACTCAGATTTTTGTCTGTGCTGGAACCTAGAGTCTGTCTGTGCAGGGATTTAAGAATTGAATGAGCTGATGATTGTAAAGCACCAGGCACAGTAACTAGCATACACCAAACACATAGTCATGGTACCTTTCACTACTACTTTCCATGTCATGTTATTGTTTTAAAATAAAAATTAACCTTTTAAATTATGGGAGTTCTGCTATACGTACGTTTGAAGCTGCCTTTTCCAGCAATTTGGGGCAGTAATCATTGTGCATCCGTAGTGGCTTTAAAGAGTCCTGGGTTTGCGCACCTATAAATGTGTAAGCATCACTTCCTCTTTCAGCAATTTCCCCAAGAATTCCTTGCCCAGCTGACTTTTCTTATAGGCTGTGATGACATGGGTTTTTTTTCTCTGAATCTAGCCAACTGGAGGAATTCCTTCAGACCTTTGTTCCAGACGATGGCCTTGGCCTTCTGCGCTCCTTCTCTCCTCCCTCCAGACTGCCCCAGGACAAGTCAGTCTGGCCCAGCCTTCACATCACCCCATTAGAGCCTGCAGTGACTTTTGGGGCCCTGGGCTTTTGTCACTCTGCTAGTCTGGCCCCTTCCTCCTGATTTTTTCACAAAGCAGGCCAGTCCCCCATCTGTCTTTCTCTGTTCCCACAGGTGCTGTCACCTATCCTCCCCTACACTCTCCACTCTTGTCCCTACCCTGCTGTCTCCACAGAGCCATCCTCAGCCCACACCCCTCGGTTGAGCCTGTCCCTGGACAGAAACTGCACTGGCAGGGCCACGCTGATTACCATCGGCAGGCAGGGCAGGGGATAGGCAGGTAGGCAGAGACCATGTTTTACACTTTAGGGCTTCATAGAAGAATCTCATTAACCACTGAGCTATTAAACCTACTTTCCCTGATCCAGGTGGTGCTGTTGAACAAATGCAGTACTGCCCTCAGGTGGAGTGTTTGGTGTCATGGAGGACACGTTGGTCTCAGGGCGTCCAGATAAAGTGGTGGGGATTCCCACGCTGTGCCTGTGTGTCCCCATCCTACCCTGAGTGGTGGAGAGAGAGACACTGCACCAAATCTCTTGTTAACATACAACACACCTATAAATCACAGCTTCTGGGGCTACAGCCCAGGAAATCTCAGCACTCTTGCACATTTTCTGACTCAAGGGATTCCCCATGGTCAAGCAGTAGAACCCCAGAGTGAACTCAAGCACCACTGGCTTGTGGGACCTTTTAGCAGTGTCCTAGGAGCATGCCCCTTGTGCCCCAAAGGGCCTTGGTTTCTGGCCTCCCACCTCCCCACAGCATTCTGTTGCAAATCGCAAGTCCTCCCTCACATTCATCCTCTGCCTGGCACTGCCCGCTTGGATAACAACAGCCTCCTAACTGGACTTCTCTTTTCCCGTCCTGTGCTGCATACTAGCACTAGCGTGATCTTCCAAAGGACAAACTGGACCAGATGATCTCCTGTTTCGGACCCTACAGCAGCTCGCCATTGCTGTCAGGGCACTCTGTAGGATGCTGTGTACATCCTGGCCCGGCTGCAGTCAGCTACAGCAGATTCCTCTACTTCACATCTTCCTCCTCCCCTCAGCTTGTTCCGGCCACACATGACCCACACTTGTGCACTATCCGGGCTTTCTCGCTTCTCCATGCCCTACTTGTTAACACTTCCACCCTCTCCTGGGTGACTTTCCTCACCCTTCAAGACTCAGCCAGCCCTGCTCTGCATGCAGCCTTCCCTGATTTCACCCCACCCCTGCCCCTGCCTTGAGCACCATGGGGCCTGACTTCTTTCTTATCTCCACACTGCACTGGCCAGTCCCTGAGCAGAAACCACCTCTGTTAACTGCCAGCCCAGGACCTGGCACACACATTTGTTCAAATGAACAAGTCCATATATCATGAGAAGTAGACACTACTACTCCCTGGGGAAGTCTGGTTTGTGAGAAGACAGCCCTCTTCAGAAAGGCCTTTTCTAATCAATAGTAGCTGGGAAATCTTGTCCTTACCTTTTAGGGAGAGTCTGAGGGCAGAGAGACAGGGAGGGAGCATTCTTTTAATGGCACAGGAACACTGCATAAGATACTTCTTCCAGGATGGTGGAAGGTGAGGATGACAGGGAACCAGCGGGGAGGCTGGCCACTCCCTGGATGAATGTGCAAATACATCTCAGCTTAGAGCCCAGGGTGCAGATTGCTTCCTCCGTGCCAGCTGTGCCTTTAGTCTTAGACCTGATCTGTAACATGCAGGCCTGGAAGTTGTAAACTGGTCACCCTAATGCACACACACACAGCTCATAGCCAGGTTTACTTGGTCCTCACCAATATTATAAACAATCTTTTATTACGCTACCTATACATAAAATCAGATTTGATATAAAATTCCTGATTTCAGACATCTCATAAATCAAAAGTTCTATCAGAATCCCATTTCTGCCTGGCAACTGTTGATCACCATGCTTGGCTGTTACATTTCCTAAGCTTGTTATCTGCCTCCCATGTGGGCATTTTGAGTTTGCAGCTCTTGGTCTAGACTGTAATCTTCTGAAAGTCAGGGACAGAGTCCCATTCATGGTTTTATTTCTACCTCCTAACACAGTGTTTGGATTGCTTGATAAGTATGTGTTGAAGTAGATTTAATCAGCCACACCTAGGTATTATAGCTTTGTTGGGTATCAGCAACAGAATGTAGGTAAACAAAAACTTTATTCAACATGTTTTCTGAACCCTGGAAACCTCTTTATTCCAAGATCATCAATTGAAAGTCCAGCTCCTGTTGAAGTTTGTCAATAGAATAAACTATATCTTCATACGCTAAGCACTACATCGTGTGTGGTTTTATTCTAAAGGCTGGTTCCTTTGCTCCTTTTTATTAAGTTTAACAAACATAACTGCCCAAATTGGTATTTTTGTAAAGTGGGATTATTTGATATAAACATAAGTAAAGACCAAAGCAACTGATAAAACTACAAGATTGTCATTTCCCCAAAATAAGTGTGTATATAAGGGACAGCTTCTTCCAGGAAGCCATGTGCTTTTCTGGATGGAAAATAAATCGGTGGTACTCTTGGTTTTCTCGGACTTGTTCCCAGTCTTTAGAGCCTTTTTTCCATCTGTTCCCCAGAATCATGACTTAGTGTCTCCAATGGATGACAACGATCAGAAGGCACCCTGTGTGCACAAAGGGGTCAGGGCTCCTCCAGATCCACTACCATCTATTGCTTGATCATCAGTGAAGGACACTATGTTAGCTTGGGCTGCCATAGCAAAATACCACATCCGAGGGGCTTAAACAACAGAATTTCCTGTTCTCACAGTTCTGGAGGCTGGAAGTCTAAGATCAAGTTGTCAGCAGGGTTGATCTCTTGTGAACCTTCTCTCCTTGGCTTGCAGATGGCTGTCTTCCTGCTCTGTCCTCACATGGTCTTTTCTCTGTGTGCACTTCCCTAGTGTTTCTCTGTGTTCAAATTTCCTCTTCTTGTAAGGACATCCGATTGTGTTAGGGTCCACCCTCCTGGCCTCATTTTACCTGAATCACTTCTTTAAAGGCTCTATCTCCAAGCACAGTCAATTTCTGAGGTGCTAGAGTTCAGGGCTTCAGCATATGAATTTTAAGGGGACCCAATAACAGCCACAAATAAATGTTGTGTCTTTTTTAGCATGTGTGATTCCGTTGGGAAAGCAGGAAAAAGCAGGAACCATAATAGTCTTAGCAGATGAGTCTGTAAGTGTCTCAGGCTATCCAGCCATCATACAGCACATAGAGCAGCGTTGCTGAGCCCAAGTAGAGCACAGCTTGGGGATCCTGGCAAGAGGCATGTTGCTTCTGGTGAAGTTTTATCCTTTTGACCATCTGTGTTATTTTGAGCAGTTGCTGTAATGAAAAAATTAAGAATGAAAACAAAGATACCAACAAACACCAGAGCAGGCTGCCACTCCAACAGCTCTCCACAGGACCAAGTAGTTCATGGAATCACTAGGCCTTCCAGGGGAAGAAGGCATGGTGGTTTCTGTTGGGTTCATCTTCAGTCCTACCTTCTTAGGCTGGACCTCACCCCCAAGAAGGCCAACAGACAACCCCTTATATGGCCAACACAAGTTCCCCCTGGTGGGTAAGCCCCATCACTAGAACTGAGAATTTGAGCTATAAATTAAAACTGAAAATACAGCTTGAAAAAGATGAGAGGGAAATCACATGTGCAGTGTATGTTATGAGACCCAGTTATATCACCTTAGTTGTACTTTTGCTTCCAAAGATCACTTTAGGTTGTTGGACATGAAGAAACTAATGAGCCAGTGTGGGTGGTTCATGCATGCTTTAGAGTCTGAGTGATGAGAGGGCACCATTGATAAATTTTTCCCTCATAAACACTGTGAGATAATGGAATCTCCTAAGGTTTGTTTTATTCTCGAGTGACTATAGCAAAAATCTAAATCCAAGAATAAGCAAAAAGAGAAAATAAGGGATGATCTGTCTTCACCAGACATCAGTGCAGCACTCCTCTCTGGTTCTGAATATCTCTTCTTGGCAGCTTCTCAGTCTGGCTTTGGAGAAATCTGCCTCCTGCATGACTGGGTGGTCCTCTGCCATTCGGAAGCAGTCACTGTGGTCAGGCATGTGTGTGCTCATTGTGAGCAGTTTACATACACAGGATCCTCAGGTTCCTCTGTCTGTGTTGTTCATGAGAGTGCTTTCCAAGCACTCTTTCCAAGCACTGTCCACTATCCATTTTCAACACAAGTATTTGGCAAATTTGATACAAAGTTATATCTTGATTGACAAGCATGAACAGCCCTGTCACCTTGCT